CAGTAGCACGGGCAGGGGTTTTGCTGGCCAAGGACTCAAATATATTTGTGGAAAATGTGAGCAGCTGTCATGGAGATGGAGGCACGAAACCTCCCTTTCACAAGGGGCCATGGGCACAAACTGAAGCAGAAGAGGTTCCAGTTGAACGTGAGGAAGAACTTGTTGACTGTGAGGGTGCCCGAGCCCTGTCCCAGGCTGCCCAGGGGGGCTGTGGAGTCTCCTTCTCTGGAGATCTTCAACCCCCGCCTGGTCCCTCTCCCCCAGGTGAGTGCCCTTATCCCACAGAACACCAAAGAAAGCTGCAGTAATTTATAGTGGGATCTAAAATTTTTCTTGACTATCTTTCTATTATTAATCATAAGACTCTAGGCTAAGTCCTTCACTCAGCATTGCCCGTCCTTCGTGAATTCACGCAAGCTCAAGAACTGGCCCTTTGAAACAAGGCAGGAGGTGGCCGTAGAGAGAATGCTGGCTCGCAGGCATTACAAAATCAGCATGCAACGCAGTGTTTTAAAAATGCAAGGGCAACACCACTGAAAAATGTAGGCGGTGGGGTAAATGTTGGGCTTTTTGCAGTTAGTAAATGGTTGAAGTACACTTGTAGCTGTGAAATCATTCTTGGTATTGACACAGAGGGAAACAGGTCTGTATCATTATCTTGCAGCGAATAAATCAGGGAAAGTGAGCAATGAGCTCAGGGATGGCCTGTAGGAATTTGCGAGAAATTTTAATTCACTGGTAAACTGCAAATGCTGCTTTAGGGCTGTGCTTCCAGAAATGTATGACCTTCCAGTGCAACACAAAGCGTTTCTGCATGAAGAAAATAATGCAAGTGTCTGGCAATGTTTGATTTAAAGGCCTTAAATCCGACCACTGGCTGAATGGGGAAGATGAAAAGCGGGAGGCATTAGGAAAACATTGTTGGGTTACAGCTCTGGCCTGAGAAAGTCCAGTTTAGAGCAGAAAGAGAATGAACACAGAAGTTTTTCAAAGCATGAGCACTGCCCCGTAGGACCTTTGTATTTTATGCTGTGGCGTGCTATCAAAAAGCCTGGCGTAGCTGCCTTAGTCAGGCTGCCCGGCCTCACCACCGCTCCTAGCAAGTCCGAGACAGACGGGGGTGAAATGCCCACGGTTCAGTCCCCTGCCCTCCACCACGTCCCCTTTCCTTTGTTTTACCAAGGGTGCCTAAATGATGCTGAAGATAATTTGTGAATGGCCATGATAATCCATCATCAAACCACCACCCCCACCACCCCCCAGAATCTGGTATTTCAGATCTGAAGATCCTGAACAAATTACAAAAAGAAACAAAAAAGTAAATCCTTTTAAAAGTTCAGCTGCCCATGGAGCTGGACACCAGCCCTGCTCATTCACGATGGCCCCATCCTGCAGCGTGCTGGGCACTCCTGTGCGTGCTGATCACTTCTCGGCTTCCTGAGGAATTAAGGTCCTAAAGCCTTTTCCAAGAAGCGCCCAATGCCGTACAGGACTAGGCCCTCAATGCACAAATCCAAGTGTTTTCTTCCATAGCTGTCACTAGATAAATATTATTAGAACGTATCCTCAGCTGGATTGAAATGTCCGTCCTTGATCTCTTGACTCTGCTGGAATGAGACCAGTTCATGCCGGCTGATTATCTGGGCCATTATTTATTATAAATTTATGGTGACCAATTAAGGTTCCAGGACGCCAAAGTCTTCAGCTGACATGAATCGGCGTAACTCCGTGGCTTGGAGAGTCACACCAATTTACATGACTCTCTGGTGTGGAGCGTAGAAAGTGGACCAAATTCTGATTTCCCTGCTCTTTTTTTCACTCTGATAAAATTCCTTCTGATGTTCCTGTTTGCCCTCCTTGCGTGGATATCACGAAGACCTATCCAAGCTTAAATTGCTTAAGCTTAAACCAGGTTTATATTAAAAACAGGCAGCTGCTTATCAAGAGAACCCCCCTTTAAGCTGATAAATAATTTTTTAATAGTTCCAACCAGCTGCATTGCATTATCTGTCCAGTTGTCCTCATTCAACTATCTCTCTAGAACATTAAAAAACCCACCCCAACCCCCCTTTTCTCCTACTCATCCAACTCTATATTTCTTTTAAAGATACTCCAGTTAATTCATTATCATTGGAGATATTTTAAACTCCTTTATCTGGAAACAGTCAGGCTGTTGTGCAACTCCACCTTTTTTTTTTTTTTATTTTATTTTATTTTATTTTATTTTAAGGAAGCTGCAGAGCTGCTTCCCATCCTCCCACAGTATTTCCTTAATGCAGGTTTGTCAAATTATTTTTTATTTTATTTTAAGGAAGCTGCAGAGCTCCCACAGTATTTCCTTAATGCAGGTTTGTCAATAGTGTCTAATCAAGATCAAAATCAATGCTGCTGCTTTTCGATCCTGGGGGAGTGCCTGCTCCTTCCCTCCTGCTCCCCAGCCTGAGCCCCCAGGCTGCTGTTTGCTCCCGCAGCAGCGACGCTTCCTTGTTAAACTTTGAAGGCAAAAAGTTCCCTACCAGCAGAAATATCAGTCTGCATTTCAAAATCTCCAAAGCGGATATCGAGAGGAAGGGAGAAGGGATTTGTTGCTCATCAGAAATAAGGCAACGTTCTAGGCTGATTTCCCTGACTCATCCTAACCTTCAGCTCACCTTCAGGATAACGTAGCAGCACTGTCCTCCTCCAGCTGATTCTAGATCGGAAACAAACATCGCAAGAATGTGTTTTCAATTAAAGCAACATATTTTATCCCAGAAGGATTTCTGTGTGTGCTTGCAAACGCCTCGGTGAATGCAAACGTTTTCTCATCTAAATACCCTGATTTCTAAGGTCATCAACACGTATTATGAAAACGATTGTCTTCTATAAAAGTTTGCACTGCTTGAACTTCTGTGTTCAATAAATGCTATCGCTGCTTGATTACAAAGCAACAATTTCTGTTGCATACTGGGTAAATGGATTTAAAACAATCCACGTATTTAATGGCAGGGAGTTCTATTACAAAGTTCCATACGCTTCTCCTTACTTGCTGCTCAACACCACTCACTTGTTTTCAGGAGATTAAAAGGCTCACAACAACTCCCAAGCATCTCTGTTAACCATCGCTTTTCTTTTACAGTAAGTTTTCTGGATGTATAAAACATGAGCTGTTCCCCCCTCCCGGTTTTCATTTAACAGGGAATAAAGCAGTAATAAACCAGAGCGTAACGTAGCAAAATAAAATGCAATGCCATAAGAGACAGTAATTTTGTTTTGACTTCCAATGAAATCCAAAGGGATGCTCTCTGCCTACGGAGAAAACTTTTAGCAAAATTACTGGAACAGATTTAGAATCCGTGATTGCTTCAATTATAGTAAACCTTTTTCTTTCGGTTTATCACCCAAAACTCCGGAGAGGTTAACCAGAGGATCGAACTGCTTGTGTTCGCAAACACAAGCCAGCAGATACCTTGGATAATTCTGACTTCTCCACTGACTGCAGTGCTGCAGTCCTATGACAGCATCATATTAATGAGCCAGCAGAGGTGCGATGTTCCATGTGGTTGGCAAAGTTTAACCCTGTCCCTCAGACTTCCCCAACTCTCCACAACCAAGACACCGCCGCAGCAAACCCAGGCGCTCTGTACGTCCCGAGTTCAAGGCAAGAAGGCGATTTTTGAGGAGGATTTTGCCCGCTAACAAGATCACCTACTTAAAAACTCACGGGCTGCTGGGCACCCGCAGACACACATTTTCAGCACCCTTTCCGAATGGGGAGTTAAAGCCCCCCCCCCCCCCCCCCCCAGCTTTCCTCAGCTTTGCAATGGGAGCCGTAGCAGGGCTTTTTGTTCCTTTGCAGCTTGCCAATCCATCGCCCGTGTAGCTGCAATCCAGCCGAGAGGAGTTCAAGGTCTGGCTCTTAGCTCGCCGCTGTAATGCAGCCCACACCAAGTGTATCGTACCACGTAAACACAATTTTTAACAAGGTTTCAAAGAAGGAGAATTTATTTCTAAGCAATGCACCAAGCGCTAGATTAAAACGTGGGCGGAAAAGAGAGGAAGAAAGGGAAGGGGGAGAAGAATCAGAAAGGAAATAAAAGAAAGAAAGGGGGAAAGGAGCAAGAAAAGAAAAGAAAGAAAGGAAATAAAGACAACAAAGGAAATAAAGAAAAGAAAGGAAATAAAGACAAGAAAGGAAATAAAGAAAATAAAGGAAAGAAAAAGGAAATGAAAATGAAAGGGATTAAGAGAAAGAAAGGGAATAAGAAAAAGAAAAAATTGAGGAAGAAAAGAAAGAAAAGGAAGAGGGTGATGGCCTAGGAAAGGGGGGAGAAGGGAGCAGGGGCAAGGGGGAGCAGGGGGGAGAGAGAAGGGAATGGGGATGGGA